TTGTTAATATAGCTAGAATGAGAGGGACAAATGTCCTTCAACTCCTGAAGGTTATAACCTGATATTAAGCTCGATAAGGATTTATATAGATTTGTAATACACCACCTGAACCATAAACAAATTCCTAAAAACAATCATAAAAAAGCATACAAAATGGTAAATTTTTCATATCGGTCAATCAACCTACGAAGATGGTGGGCAACAAATTTGGGATCAACTGAATACACACACACCCACTCTTGTAGAAGTATCTGACTGTTAATATGAGCATGCAGTTGCATACGATATGTCATAAATAATAGTGAATATTATGTCCGTATTAATCAATGTTGACAGAAACGAGTTACATAATATGCAACTTTGTCGAAGAAAAAGAGCTGCATAAAATGTAGTGAATGTGAGATTTTGAACAAGATTTGTAAAGTCATGATAATATACATGGACATCTATTCTGGTACTTCTTAGTAAACTACACTGTCCTGTATTGAATTTTAGTTTTATTAAAACTTTAATTTTTTATATTTAAAGTTTTATTAATTTATTATGGACATTTATGTTTGTTTTAAATTAAAAAAATAATAAAACATTTAACATTATTCATTATCGTTATGTGTTGTGTTACGCTATATGCCCTTTAGCCTAACGAGAGAGAGTATAACATTATTCATTATCGTTATTTTAAGATCAGCATTAATCTGCGCAAGGGAAAAAGTATGCCACTGTGTACTGTGTCAAAGCTAGGATTCCGCAAATGATGCCCATCAGAGTTATGGTCAGCAGATAGAGATCAAAATCTGTTCTTTTTTTAGATCCGTTCTCATGAATAACAAAAACATAAAAACATGATTTTTCTTGTAAAATTCTGATAATTTGATTTCAAGATACTCCTCATTATTGATGCTAGCTGTAAATAGTAAAACTATCAAGACAAAAATCTCCAGGTCCCTCTATGTCTTGATTCTTGAATGTACTACTTAACTATTAAACCATATATAAATCCTGGACCTTCTTTGAGCTAAGTAGGGAAAAGTGAAATCAATAGAATTATTTAATGTGCTAGGAAGCCATGGATTTAGATACCGTATCCAATCGAATCATTAATAGCTGTAATTACTCAACGAGGTTAATAGAATAAAATAAATGAAAAATAAACCTAAGAAAGACCTCTCAGAATGGCGCATTCCCATAGCTGCATCAAGGGTCGTCTGCTTTAAGCCACCAGAGCCTCTTCCCCTGCCTCTCTTAGAAGCTCCACTTCTACTGAGGTTAGATGCATCTTGAGAGGCTTTAGATGCCCCAGCTCCTTTTCTTCCTCGGCCAGCAGGCTTTGAAGTTGAAAGCAACTGCCTGGAATCTTCATCGTCACTAAAGGAATTTGTACTGATAGCACCTACTGTATTTTTGCCTCTAAAGCCCTATTACAAAAGCAACAATCAACATAAGCTGTATAAGAGCTTGCATGCAGTTATATTGCCCAGGGGCGTTCTGCAAAATTTGGTACACTCCTGAGAAAAATGTGTTTGTATGGTGAGAATATTAAGTGCAGTATATTTTATTTTTTTTCAATAACAAGCATGGTAGCTGATGTAGAATGAGATGCTAAAATGGATAAAGTAGGTGAAGAAACATGACCAATAATGAAAAAGAAAGGCAAAATTTGGATTCCCGCATGTAAATGCAGTGTGAAGCCAACACAAGGATGTGAAGCCTTTGATCGTGTCTATTTTTCTTATCAAGTCCCATAAAACCCCTAGCTACCACTTCTCGCTCTAAAAAGCGTAATTCTCACCAGACACATATGCTACTAGTAACATACAATATTAGTAAACTTGCATGAAAAAGTTAACAAATGTTAGCTTAAAAGTTGTATACACTCATGTGCAGTTCATAAACAATCCCATATCCTATTATTTGGGTATATACTACTGATGGAAAACAAGAAAACAATTCAAAGAGGGAAAGATATAGGTAAATAGAGAAATTTCCAGAAACTTGAGCTACATTATGATTATGCATGCCATTTTGCCAAAATGAGTGCATGAAAGCTACTCACCTGTAGATCTTGTGAGTTGGATGTGATTCTCATTGTTTCCTTAGGGTGTGACGTTCTTTCCTTTACGCGTTCCTGCAGTAAGATAAAGAAAACATGTCATATCCATGTATAGTCAGCAGTTGTCGATAACATTAGCTTAATACCTGCATGCATTCACCAACTTTGACTATTAGCTCTTCCTCTTCAATCTTTAAGCTATCTGCTTCTTTGTTTAACTTATTCTGGAGTTTACAGAAGGAAGTTAATAATCAGGTCAGAGACTCAAAAATTGTTACTTGCACTAGAGTAGAGAACTAGAATCATATTTAAAATGGTTGCATTAACATTATAATGATGGTTTTCAAGAAACTGCTGAAATGGTGAAGTGCGCTTACTCTCGTCTCCTCAAGATTGTACTGCAAACAAGAGTAAAAAGCCATCTTATCATCTTTATTAACAAACTCATGAAGTGCTATATCCAAATCATTAACAGGAAGTATCTCCATTTTCTGCGAAAGATGTAAAAATATGCATCAGTTCTTGATTTAAATGGTATAAAAACGAGAAAACAAAATGCCTATTTGATCAAGAGTGATTTCACGCATGTATGTATCTAAAACTACCACTAAGGAAAGTTCATGCCACATATAACGAGAGAATTTAATTGCACAGTAAAAATAAGGATGGGAGGAGGAAATTAATGTACCAAATTACTTTCTGCAACTAGAGCCTCAATATTTTGTTGATTTAACTCCTCTGGACGAAGCCTCTCAGAATCGCCAAGTTTATCTACAGTAAAAAAGATTAAGATAAGACATTATTACTCTCTAAGGGTAAGTAAAAACGATCCCCCCCCCTCCCCCTTGAAATAGCAGAAAGTGTGTACGTTGTAGTGATTATAACTTCACCCAATATATATCGTAAACTCAACTTCTGAGTTTCAATGAGATAATCAGGAAAGAGTTCCCATGCAGCCTTACTGTAAAGTACAACATAAAAACTAATGTTATGGTTAGGTCAAATGACTACACATGCCAATATCAAGCCGCAAATCAGCTTGGCAAATTGGATTTCCATACTAGAAAGGGGAAGTGCCTTTTGAAATGTCCCAAGATCAGTCAAGTGTTATTCTAGGTTGTAAGTCATTAATAATAGAACAACAACGCAAGAACTCATGCCAAAACCGAGTGTGATCTAAATTTATTCTACTTTGTAAACTCTTTTGTCCAGGTTTAAAACTTGGCTATTTTTGTAAGTAGTCACCTTCAAGAGATTGTCGTTTCTTTGCAGCCTTTGAGAAAATGAGGATGTCCTGTGGATTGGCTACCTAAAAAAACAAGTTAATATATTAATATATTATGATAACGACACCACTCACCACTTAAGAAACTGTACATGAAAGTGAAGTAAAAACAAACTATATGGAAGGTTCTAAACTTGAACAGAGAACATAATTTACATCACACAGAAGTTGTATACAGAAATCAAAAGGGAAAAGCATGGGATATTAATAAAGAGCTATGCAGTAGATGTTTGCTGCGTCATATGTATATTTTTTTGGAGATCTATTGTAGTCCTAATATTTCATGACAATTCTGAAAATATTTTCTCATTCAATAGAGTATGAATTTGTAAAATATGTCCACATGCAGGTTTCTTGAGGGACATGTGCTTCATTTCCTTCTGTTGTGTTCGAAAACATTGATGCTAGCACTCATAATTACATCATAGGTACCTTTCCAACATACTTCTGGCCAAATCTTTGAGGGTTTATAGTCATGAATCCAGAGTAGTCAACCTGCAATATTAATTATCAGTTTAATGTTCATGCAGCTAGAAAGAAGAAACTATCATGTTACTCAAAGGCTAAAAAGAGGGAGGAAGGTTGATGCTAAGAGATAATGATAATCAGATGAAGAAATGAATTAAATATGCTTAGACAGTTTCTACTACACCTTCAATTCTAACTCCCTATGACGTGTTCATGGTAATAAGCCATACCTTTATTCTGATCAACGGAAGCTTCAATTCTGACTTGCTGACAGTTGTTTTCCTACTTTTTTCGATCAGATTTCCCACCTATAGCAGTTAAGTTTATAAGAGAAAGACAAAAGAGCGGAGCGGAGGCGAGGGAGAAAGAGAAGGGGGGGGCGAGCGGAGCCATAAATATTTTGGAGCTATGAATGAAACATGATCCTTTTCCTTACAACTTTGTCTAGATGTTCCAGAACAGACGCTTGGTCATTGGGATCTATGTCGGGTTCATCCTTTAACACAACCTGGATTGCAAGTGGGGGAATGTAAGAAAAACTACATAAGATGAAGTTGAGATCAAACTACTTGCCTCCATATACTCAAAAGGTCTCACTGACTTGAGAGGTATTTTCGTAGGTCTATATTGACTGCCCTGTTGAAAAGAAGTTAAGAATAATGTGTTTTAATTCTGACAGCAATTACCAAAACTTAGTACAAAAGAGTTTCAACAAAAAAAAAGGAGAATACCCGCCGGTATTGCACGGATCCTTCACAAAGGATGTACTACTATCCAATAGATACTGTACACTCAGATACTTTAATACTTGGTAGATAGTTGGACACTTCACAAAATGTCAACTTATTATAGATGTGCCCAAAGGAAACATATTAGGTCACAGAAGTTAAACAAGTTAATGATGAAGAAAGGATTTCACAATTCAATTGGATTTATAGATGTATCTAATTCTACACATCTGGCACATATTAATAATAAAGAATGAAGAGAATAATGACTAGTTTGGTAGATGTGGATTTCTACCAGTTGAAAGTTATTATAAAATATGTGAATGCAGTGTTCATTTAACCACATTGTAGTCTTACTGGTTTATTAAATTTTAAATGTGCAGAAATACACGAAGTTATGTGTGAATATGTGCTTGCGCACCCTGCCATACCCATGATCTATCCTTATCCACTGGAACATACCAACCCAGCCAAATGTACACATGAACAAGTTGATGCAAACATAAAAAACGTTCGATTAGGAAAAGAGTGTAATGGAGTGAAAAGGAAATCAGAGAGATATATGTACTTTGATGATTAAATGCAAGGTCATAAAAATCGGTTTATTTCAATTGCTAGCATAATTTATGTTCTTGCGAGATGATAATATCATTGAGGAGTGCAGTGCAGTTAAGTATGCATTTACTGGACAGAAATGTGAACTTTAATTGAGGACACCAATGAAGTTTTCTTGAATCTTTCTTTTCAAACCAACTTGTAATCACCTAATTTTGCTCAAGCCCTTTACTTCATATAGCAAGTGTTCCATTCTGCAGTTGTCACTTGTATTTTGTCGCCTTCCATGCACGAAGCCAATGTGGAGTATGGCATGGGTCCATTTTGGTGCAGGGCAGAAGAAAGAGAGAGACCATAAGAACGATACATTTGGAAAAACCACTGATTTCGTGTACAAATGTACAGTCTGTCTATACATAATCCTCCATACATTTGAATACATTGAATCTTTAATTAATAAACATGAGTAGTTCCTTTCATGGATTTCTTAAGTATCAAATTTTGATCACTACCTAGATAACACAAGATGCTATGAGGACGAAAGAGAAGGAAAGTTTCAAAATATCTACCTTAATTTCCAAGAGAAGTACATGTTTAGGCTTTGCTTCCCCATCAATCAATGAAGTTGCAACAGATGATCCTGGTTGAGTGATATGAAAGCCCATCCCTGCAACTTCCTGGATAAACGATTCTCAGGACGATATTATTAGTAATGTAAATCAACAAAGAAAAATTCGTTCATGGATATACCTGTGGGTCGACAAGGCATTCATGTTCATGCCCCCACACTATAAAATCAAGAAATCTTGGCAGGAAATGCTCATTAATAGCATTTTTCGGATTTGTCTTGACCCTATAAAACACAAAAGTAAAAGGAATAAGATTAGGTAGATGTAATTGAGAAACCAACAAATCCATAAATTTAACCATTGTTCATATCTCCTAGACCGCTGGTGTATAAGCATGTATATAACCTATTCTGATGAAGAACCAGAATGTTAAACCAATCTGAGACAGAACATTCATCTTGAGCTTCAGGCCGCATCCACTGTACTGCATGTGGTGTCTAAGAAAACAAATGGTGAAAATCCAGTAAGCTAGAAAACGTAACCAATATCAAACGGAAAAAAGGACCAGCATCCACCTGAAACATTCTGTTTAGCCTCTCATCTCTTATGTTCCCAAGGCCATACAACGCCACTGCGGTCGCACCCTTGATTTAACATGAGGGGAAAAAATAAAATAAAATTAGGTCCATAACCAAATAAAGAATATTAGCATGTCCGCAACTAGCGAACCGCGTTTTACGGCGATCCCCATTATTATCCGCAATTTATCTGGCTAGGTATTTGGGATGTTAGATTAACAATATGCTGTAAAATTCTGTAAACTTATGGAGTTCCCTTAAAAAAAATTGTGCTCCAGAATCAACCCTATTTGATGGAAAAGGGCTCTTATAATGACGAGCACAATGATGATGATGGTTTTTAGCTAAGAAATTACCTTCCTGATAAGTATAGGATAGAGTGTTATCTGACCAACACCAGAGCCACCAAGGGCCATTTTGCCAAAATAATTCACAAGATTGCACGCAGAGAGGATATCAATGGAAGAAAGGTTATCCTGCAAGAAAGAATAAATACCAGCGGGTGCCATGAGGATGAAAATTAAAATGTTCAATAATCAAGGAAACGAAAAATTGACTGCAAATGAAGTCAGATATGGTGGTTCTTAAATTGTTAGAAGAAGCTTCAAAGTCCAAATATACCTGCCATATGTTAACCCTGAGAAATCTAGGTCATGCACCAAGAGAACAATGCAATGCAACTCCTGATAGTGCAATGTTGCAACTTATTTGATACAATTGGTTAACAATTTTCAAGTTTCCCTAGTAGAATTCATTAAAGTCATCTAGGGGGTTAAGGACTGAGCCGGTTTCCCGACTTCCTTGTGTCATATTGCAAAATGTTTTGCAATAGAATTATGATAATTCTATTATCCAATATTTGCTCTCTTTTTCTTTTTTTGTTTTTAAATTGAGCTGTTTAACACCTAAAAAGTACTTTGTTGTGCACTGTCAAATTTTATTCGGTTTTGTAGTAAAACTGTCTGTAGACTATAATGCATAGCTTACGTACTAGATCAAATGTGAGTTTTTGTAGAAATTTATACAAAAAACTAGAGCAGAACTGAAGTTTCCACAACCTTTTCATTTCATCAGTTGTGACATACCCTAATCTAGATGAAGTTTATATTCATTTGTATGAACATTAGTCATCAGTAAAGCCTTATAGACTTTCATGCATATGTCCACATTGAAATTTTTCATTAACTACACCTGCTAGGAGTTGAGGTTGAACTAATACTCAGATCAGACAGATAAATCCAGCAGATCATTAGATCATCCATTCAACAAAATCAAAGGATTTTAACTTTCACTCTTTCTTTTACCTCATTTAACTAACCTTAAAAACCAAAAACCGCAAGTAGCAAATCTGACATAGAGGATGTATTAAAGCATTTGTACCGATATTTCTTGTTAGTGACAAATTAACAGGACATGAAGCTCTATGAGAGGACAGTATAACTATGACTTTAAATGCAATACTTATAAATTTGACCAGCTGTTAAAGAGCAGCACAACTATCAGAATGGTTCGTGCGTAAAGAGCATGCATAAAATAGATGTCAATATGAGTATGACAACAGGGAGTTTCATATTAACATTTTAACCATGATTAGTTGTTAGTCAGCTGCATCAATTCACAGATAAGCACTATTTATCCTCAGAAGTATACTCCGCACCTAACATTAAAGTATGTGAAACAAAACACAATAAAAACAAATTATTATTAGTAGTAGTAGTAGAGCATTTTATTTTTGTAACTTATGAATGCTTCAAGAAAGAAGGATACTGAAAACAGCATCAATATTGCTAATCATTTAAAAGCAGAGATCCTTTAACATACCACTCCAGCAGGATCATCATGATTTCCATGAATAGTAAAAACAGGTAGGCCAACATTGAAATGGGGGTCCTCATAGTTCACATGACCAAATCTGAGTGAAACCAATAGAGCAGAGTTACAGTAATATTCTTAATTAGAAATGCATGTTGTGACAATTTACATATATAGCATGTGTAAATAGGTTATCATACTTGTTTGGGAAGTTCACAGTCTGATCACTGACAACTTGGAACGGTACTGGTCGGTCATTGAGGCAGTAGCGTCTCAGAATTTCAATGGCCTTTACCAAAGTTGATCTGGAAGGCTTGTTCTCATGAAAGAGATCACCGCCAAGGAGCAAAAAATCTACCTGCAGGGATGATTATTCTTAAAAACTTCTTCTCCATTGCTAAAGGATGAGTCGCATATGCAAATGCCAACAGTAATTAGTGAAATCATGCACGAAGAGACCAAGCAAATTAAACAGACATAAATTGAGGAATTAAAAGCTAACGCTGCAGTAGAACCGAGGATTGTTTCAAACTAATGGTGTGCTCGAATCTAAAAACCTCAACGCATACCACTTTCAAAGCCCGAAAATGGCAACGTTTAAGTATGTATGAAAACACAGTGCAGGAGACAACACAACAAAGAAATATTATTTACCTACATTGAGCTATAATAGTTGTTGGGGAAAAAAAGATCCCATATATTTATTACCTGTTTTTGCTCAGCTATCGAGCAGATCTCATCAAAAGACTCAAATGAATCGAACCTACGAATTTCATCTTTCTCCATATATCCCAGATGACAATCAGTTGCAATGAGCACCCGGAGTGTATCATTGGCGTCCTCCCTAGAAGTTTTTGTTATATAAATAATATCAAAAAAGTTTCTTCGACTAGAAATAAAATAAAATTACAAAGTACCCATACATTTGACTCAAATTGACAAGCATTTCACGAGAAACACAAATCGTCTACTTGAAGGGTATGCATTTTAACAAGGAACCAATTCAGAAAACCATGTTTTACACGAGAGCATGGGAGTTGTAAACTATCGTGAATAATAAAAAAATCAAATATATTTCTGTTGGCCCTCTACATAATCATGACAGATGGAAGTCTTACATTGATAATTCTCGTTCCAGCCTGACTTCCAATTTTTCTTCTACCCTGCACAGGAAGTTAATTACTAAGCTACTGACTAGTAACATTTTGACCATAACTTGGTATGTTACAGATTTACAGATTAACTGGCATGCCATTCGATGTATACTTACTGCATAAACATGAGCCTAGCAATTCAGCAGGTACAAGATAGTCCACTTTATTTTGAAATATCCCATGGGAAAGGAAGGGGTAGGCATAAAACTTATCATGAATTATGCCCAAAAAGATCTCCAGAAAAAGCAAGTATTATGCAAAAAAAGGAAAATTTATTTTTAAGGAAAAAAATATATATGGTTGCCTAAGATGGTAGACCTGTATTATGATACACAAATATGAAGTTCACAATCATTATCCAAATTCTACATTTGTAATATTTAACCAGCTCATAGACTAAAATATAGGTTTCGCCTTCAAAAAATAAGAGCAGAAAAACAGACTGATGAATATTTCATCGAAAACAGTTTATTTATTTGATTTGTCCTCCGACCTTTTTCTGCTCTAGCTGAGAAGTTTGTGCACCAGGACATTCTGTCATTGGTCTATGCATGTGCGGAAAACAGGCCAAAACACGTTTTGCACGCTCAATTAAAGATCTTTATAACCCTTGACAAAGATCTTGACATTCAAACTTATAATAAGATAAATTTCTACTACTACCAGACTGGATTAAAGATGAAGCTTACATATAAAACACTCTTCAAGTTTAAGATTCTCCAAGATTAGCATGGATTAAAAGTCACCACAAACCCTAGTACACCTTTTAACACTACATTCAGACACCAAAGAGTCCTTTTCACCCTTTATAGAACTAGAAAGGTAAATTTTTGGAAGATAAAGTAGATCCATTTCTACTACTACCAGACTGGATTAAAGATAAAGCTTACATATAAAACATTCTTCAAGATTAACATGGATTAAAAGCCACCATAAACCCTAGTACATCTTTAACACTACATTCAGACACTAAAGAGTCCTTCTTTTCCCCCCCTTTATTGAACTAGAAAGGTAAATTTTTTGGAAGATAAAGTTCTGTTTGCAAGAAAATTCGTGAATTATGTGTTTTATCAATCGATATAAACAGTAAATAACATAAAATTCCATCCATTGAACTGCAATTTTGCATAGAGAAATCGCCCATTTTCTACTTTAGGGCCCTTAATCACAGCCTCCTTGGGACATTAAAGTTAAAGATGATAGTGTTTCCAGTAGAGAACAAGTAAAAAAAAAAAAATCCAAATTGAAGTACAATGGAACCTGATCTACCAATCGCTGCAAACTCTTTATCAAGCTATTTATAAGCAGTTTGGGTACATGAATACAGAAAACCTAATTGAGAACGAAATAAGTAAAAATAGATGTCACCTTTTGATGACGTGTAGTAGGAAAGCCAAGAAAACCCAACCTTTACCTCTATTCAAACTTTTAGACTGAGAATCGCGGTACCAGAGTAGAAACCTTGGCCCAAAACAAACCCTAGAAGAACAAATCCAACTGCTGAGATGACTATAAAATCCAATCGAATATCAAATTTAAAAGAATTAAAGCTAGTTCAATGGATCGAAAAGCTTCGACGCAAAGAAATTAGTGAAGAGCAGAAATTTTACCCTATTTTTGGCTTCTTCCAGCGAAAGAGACGGGATGAGGAATGAAATGCTGGCGGGAACTTCTGCTGGAAGATTATACCCCCTCCATTCGACCGGGTTCAATGTTTTCGAAGCGGACTCGGGCAAACCGCTTCGTGCGTACCAATTTTGATCATTTTTTCAGTTGGTTTTTTTTATTAGTCCCTTGTATTTGAAATTATTAACTCAATTTATGGGAATTAATATTTTGAAATTATTCTCTCGAATTAGGGAAATTAATATTAGGTCCCTCAGTTTATGAAAATTATATTACGTCCCTCAAATCTTACGTTATTATCAATTAGTCCCTCAGGTAATTGAAATTGCTATTAAATCCCCCAAATCTTTCATATTTTGAAATTATTCCCACAAATTACGGAAATTAATATCTTTCTTATTTCGAAATAATTCCCTCACTTTATGAAAATTAATATTTGGTCCCTCAAATCTTAAGTTATTGTGAATTAGTCCCGCAAATGCCATTTAAGTCCCCCGGAACTTTAGTTACTTTTAAATTAGTTCGTCATACTAAGAGTATAAGTAGGAAACAGAGCGATTAATTTAAAATGACTAAGGAAATTTAAAAGCAATTTCAATGATTTTAAGGGACTGTTTTTTCTCTATTGCTATATTACTCTTGATTAGATGAACTAATTTGGAAATAACTTAAGATTTAAGGGACTTAATAGCCATTTGTATGATTTGCAGGGCTAATTTCAAAAACTTAAGATTTGAGGGGCCCAATAGTAATTTTATGATCCTATGTAATAATTAAAAAATGAAAGATTTAAGGGACTAATATAAGAAAACCCCCTTTTCAGTTCTAAATATGATGTTTTTTTAGTAGTCCCCTGCATGTTTGATAATGTAAATTTAATCCCTAAATTCATTGAAAACAACTATTAGGTCCCTTAGTTCTTATGCGATGGTTCAAATTAATCATATTCCAACTAGGAGCAGCAAAAGTAAGATATAGAAAATCAGAGGTTTAAAATAGCATATTTAATAATTAAAGGGGTATTTTCAAGTGATAAATAATTAAAGAGCTACTATTGAAATTACCTTTAAGGTTGGTCCCTTATTAAATAGATAATTTGAAACTGGTCCTCTAAAGACGCAATACTAAGAAAAGTGTCATAATCTGATTCAATTACACTAAATAGGTACATGCTAACTATTTATGTTAAAATATACATGGGAATGAGTTAAGATATCCACTAA